GCAGGCCAGCCTGAGCCTGAGGCTGGGCTAAGGCCAAGCCGCCCCCCCCCCACCCCCGGGCCTCTGGAGGAAGGGCCCGTCTTGCCGTCCTCGTGGTCCCGAACACCTTTGCGATCCATTTGGGGGGTTTGGGCCCAAGGGGCTCCTGAGGGGGGAGGGAGGGAGGGAGTCCCAGAGAAGGGCAGGGAGCCTGGCCGGCAGGGAGGCTCGTGCGATACCCTCCGTGCTCCGTCCCTGAGCCGGGCCGTGGGCAGAGGAGAAGGGCAGCCACTCAGTCAGTCGTGGGAGCGGCCCCTTCCCGCGGGGTCAACCTGGAAAGAGCATGCCAGCCCTGCCCGCACCAACCAGCCCTATGAAGGCCAGCAGCCAGGGAGCCCCCCCCCAATAAATACCAATAAATACCCAGCAGGAAGAGGTGATGGGCCGGCAGGGGTCACCAGCAGCGTCTTCTCCCTAGCCTTGACCCCTTCTGGGTCAAGGAGCTAGGTAGGGCACAGCGGCCGCCATGACAGCAGCAGCCTCCACAAACCCTTGCCGCTGCAGCAGACACACCCTCTGCAAGGAGCTGCCCCCCTTGCCCCCCACCCCCGAGAGGAGGCCCTGCCCGCCAGGACCCGCTCAGCAATCCATGCTGGTGTCGCTCTCAAACCAGGGCAGGGGCCCGTCGGTGCCAAAGTATCTGTCTCCGAAGTTCCCTGGAGAAACATGAAGCGAACATGCTGCCGATGCCACCAGGGAAGGAAAGGGTGCCTGCCGGCCGGCCAACCCACCTGCCCGCCACCGCCAGGGGTCGCTGCCCCCCCTCCACCTCAGCCAGGAGCAGGAGCAGCTGCTGCAGGTGGCCTTTTCAGCAGGGCTGCTCTGACTCACCAATGCCAGGTATGATGTGGAACTCCTCGTTGACTTGTTTGTCCACGGCGGTGGTGATGATACGCACGCGGGGGAAGGCATAGGCCACGGAGTGGACGCCCATCTCCGCCATCAGCAGAGACAGCAGGAAGATCTTGTCCTCTTGCACATCGTGATCCTGGTGGGGGGGGAATCCACCCCTGTAAGCAGCCCCTCCCCTCTAGACCTGGCATCCCCAATATCCGCTGGCCCCCCAGCCCAGCCCAGCCCAGCCCAGCGGCAACGGTGTGTCACCAACAACACACGCACTGCCATCATGGCAGCCGCCCCGGTGGAGACTGTGCTGTCCATCAGAATGACGTAGTCTTCGCTGATTTCCTTGGGCAGCCGCAGGTAGTGCAGCTGGGGAGAGAGAAAGGAGAGACGGGTCCAGCACGCAGGCCTCCTGAGCCGCTTCCTCCCTCCCCGAACCCCAAGAGACACCCCCCCCATCGTTTCGCTCTCTACCTCTGGTTCCCCCGTGTCGTGGTTGGTCTGGATAAGAATTTTGCCCAGGCGAATGTCTTTGCAGACCGCCGTGAGGGCCTGCTCCATGGTCTCGCCCGCCCGCAGGATGGAGACCCCGGTGATCTGGGGAAGGAGAAAGCAGTCGAGGCTTAAGGGTTACGAAGGCAGTCCAGCTGTGCTGCTCGGCAAAGCAAGGACTTCCCTGCGCAAGCTCAGCAGGAGAGGACCGGAGGGCCCTGGTTTCTGGCAGAAGAGTTGTCTGGCAGCTTCCCTTCTGCCTTGAACTCCTCCGGGGGCTCCTCCCACAAGCCTGCGCGCTCTGCCCCTCTTTTCCCGACAAGGACCACCCAGGAGGGTCCCCACTCACCCGCTGCCGGTGGAACCGCTTCCCCTCGTACACCGTGCCCTGCGGCGTCTCCACTGTCACTGGCTGCAAAAGCCAAGGAGGGGAGGGAAGTGAGGGGGCCAAGGAAAGGGACCACCCTGGAGGGGGGGATGTGGCAAGGCCAGGCATGCCTGAGCACCATCCTGACCCAGGGCCCCAGGGAGCACAAGCGCCTCCCCCACCCTAGCCCACGGCCTCCTGCAGCATCCGGGCCGCCCTCGCATGAAGGTCACGCGCACCTTGAGTGGCAGGAAGGAGAGGGCGTGTTCAATCAGCAGGCGCATCAGACGCTTGGAGTAGAAAATGAACTCATCCCTGCTGGTGTCCTTGTTCCTGGACGGGGGAGGCACGCAGAGGCCGAAGGCCAAGATGATCCTGAAGGCCAGTCCCAGCCAACACTCCCAGCCCCACCCACCCACCTGTTCCCAGGCAGTGCTGGTGTCCCCCCCCTCTGCCCTCCTGCAGCCCCCTGAGCCCAGACAGAGAGGGCCTCCCTCCACCTGTGCCACAAACAGCCACGCACCTGATGATGGTGTGCATCCCACGCACCTGTGGGGTGCTCTCCAGGACGCTCAGGCTCTTGGGCAGCGGTTGCCCCTGGTGGGCTGTGGCCAAGGCAGCTCTGCGGAGAAGCCGGGAGTGAAGGCGCCCTTCAGGCAGCGGCCCTTTCTGCTCCCGCCAGGAGGAAACGCGGGCCCAGAGGGAGCCCTCGATGGGAGTCGCTCACCCTGGAAACTCCAGAAGCTGAATTCCCACATGCACTCAGACGCACATGCATGCACACAGAGAGCCAGGAAAACAGCCCAGTCCAGCGCCAGGAGGAGCAGCAGCCTTGCTGTCCCAAGAAGGGGGGGGTGTGTGTCACGGTGCCAGGCCCCTCATGGTATCTGGCCCCTCTGGCCATTACAGGAAGGGACATCGGTTGTTGCATATATAAACCCCCCACCCCACCCCACCCATGTGGGAGCAGCTCCGGTGCCTGGAAGGAGCAGGGAGGGACCCTTGCTCTGCCCCACCATCTCCCTCTCCCAGCTCCACGTGAAGGGCAACAGGCAGCGAGGAAGGGGGCAAGGAACAGCCCGAGAAAGCCAAAGGTCCCCCGACACGGCCGGCAGGCCAAGAGGCCGCAGCCTCCTGCCACAGACCGAGGGGCACAGGTGGAGAGGAGAACCATCTCCATGGCAGAAAGGAAGGGTCCGAGCAATCATCCTCCGAGCAGTTTCTGGCAGAAGGTCTACCAGGAGGCTCGTCTGCTTCTCCTGACCCGTGGCAGCAGAAGAACCGACAATCCCCTTCCACAAGGCACTTCCAGGGCTTCTGCCCAGCTCCAGGCGCAAGATCCTTCCCCCCCCTTCCCCACCCCCCTGGCACCAAGAGGGGGCCGTGGGCCTGAAGAAGATTCCAGCATGGAACTGGGGAGGGCTGCTCCTCCTCCCGTGCTGGGCCATACCTGCCCCTCCTGAAGAAACAGAGAGCAATCCCTTTGTCTGGGATGAGGCGGGGGGGGGGAATCAAGAGTTTCTGGGATGCAGTTGCCAAGCCCAGCCCACCCCCCTGCTGCAGGGACTTTCACAGAGGGAAGCAGGGAGTGAGGGTGGTGGGACGCAGCACAGTCCCTTGCAGGGAGAGGAAGCCAGCCTACCTGACTGTGATTTCACGCTGGGCAGTGGCAGAAGCAGCACACGCAGAAAAGTCACACCAAGGCGAGGCCGGGGAGGGGGGAGTAAGAGGGTGAAGAGGAAAAACACAGAACAGCCAGTCACGGCCCAGCCTGTGGCCCTCTGTGCCCAAATGTATGCCCACACCAGCATTCAGGGCCAAGAGTGAGTGACGTTCAGGCTGCAGAGTTCCCCCCCCCCCATACCGGGGATGCTTCCTAGCAGCCTTGGCCAAGGCTGACCGACTCGGGAGAGAGGGTGACAAAAGACGGGACAAGCTTCTGGCCTGGAAGGCTGAGGAATAAGCACCAGCCTTTCCGGAACCAGGGAAAAGTGACCAGCCACAGGGGAGTCTCTCCTGGGTGGGCGAGCAAGCAAGCGAGTGTCCTGTGGCCCAGGAAGGCCCCCCTCCTCACCTTCTCCAGCTGGCTGTGCACATGCTGGACAATCAAGTCCAGAGCGACAAAGTTCTCCCCCCCTAGAAAAGAAGGAAAGGAAGGGTGAACGGCTGTCAGTCATCCGCTGGCTAACTCCTCCCAATACACAGAGATTGGAGGGAGGGGAGGAGAGGCTGGAAATCTTTCATCAGGAACGGGTACCCCCAATGAGATGGGGAAACAAGCGGGGGGGGACCTGAGAATGCACGTGCAAGATCTCCACTGCATGCAAAGAACTGCCCCCACCTACTGAGAATGGCCACCCTCTCCTTATCTGTGGGCACGGCATTACACCACTAAAGGGTCTTCCTGCTGAAAGCACCCCCCCTCCTCACCTCCTTTGCCACCCCAAAAAGGGGGGGGATGGTGGTGGAAGGTTTCTCTCCCCCCCAAATCCCCACCACATCCTTGAGGCCTTTGCTCCTGCAGAAGGAATTGGAGATGGGAAGCCTCCCTTCCTTGCTGCCCCCATTAGTTTTAAAAGAGCAAGACTGGCAGGGAGGGCAACTTGAGGGTCAAAGTCTTAGGAGGGGAAGGAAAGAAGGAAGGACAAGAAGGAAGGAAGAAAGAAAGAGAAAGAAAGAAGAGGGAAGGAAGGAAAAGAAGGAAGGAAGAAAGAAAGAAAGAAGAGGGAAAGAAGGAAAAGAAGGAAGGAAGGAAAAGATGAAAGGAAAAGAAGAGGGGAGGGAGGAAAGAAGGATCAACCCTCCCTCTTCCTTTATGGCCTCTCACAATGACTCCCTCACCCCTGAACCCCCAGCACAGCAACTACACCAACAAGGACACCATCCACGGGAGTCCCACGAGAGGTTTTTCCCCAATTCAAGCGCTCCAGTGATGGTGGGGAGCATCCCAGAGTGGGGCTGGAGGCAGGGCCACGGACACGCAGCGGCGGCCAGGCGGGAAAGCCTTCCTCTCCCTCCTTCCTCCCCTGCTCACCTCGGGGGACGACAATGTCGGCAGCCTGCATCGTGGGCTCGATGTATTGCTCAAAGGCCGGCTTCACAAACACGCTGTACTGCTTGATGACGCCAGCCACGTCCCGGCCACGCTCCAGGATGTCGCGCTTCAGCCGCCGGACCAGCCGGATGTCGGAGTCTGTGTCGACAAACACCTTCATGTCCAGGAGCTGCAATTGGACCGGAGGGGGGGGGCATCGCTTAACGATGTTTCCTCTGGGTTTTTTCGCTTAAGGACAGCAATCCGTGTCTATTGGAACGAATTAACCAGTTTTCAATGCATCTCTGTGGGAAACCCACCCAGTCGGCAGCCCCAGCGGCTTCCCTTGGATTCTGACTCAAGCTAAGACCGGCCGGGCAACCCACCCAGCCGCGCAGCTCAGCGAAGTACCTGCAACAGCTCCTTGTTGGCAAAAGCCAAGATCCCCTCGAAGACAATCACGTTGGCCCCATAGATAGTTTTCTGCCAAAAGAGGAGAAAAAGGAGGGTCAGGGGCAGCTGATCAGCCTCCAACCTCTGGGGAAACAAAGTCTGGCCCTGCCTCTGCTAGGTCACCCCTGCCTCCTGCAGTCCCAAGAGGCAAACAGAAACCACACGTTATCAGGCAAAATCCAAAGAAACAATTTAATAAACGGACAAAAACATGTGGCTCCTTAAAGACCTATTTTAATGTAAGCTTTAGGAGACACCTCCACTTTGTTAGGAAACAACAGACGGAATGGAATGAAATGCATGGGAAATCTCAGTTTCACGTTCCAAATATCCTTCGATTACATTCAGTAAAGAGGGCTCTATTCGCTTTAGGGTCCTGTTGTAAACTTCAGGCAGGCAGAAAAGAGACACCAGGCCTGAGCGGAGATGAAAGGTGGGGGAAGGGAAGAGAGGGGGGGATGTGTGGGGTTTTTAAGATTCCCCCCCCCCGCTCACAGAGGATCCCTCAAGGCCAGCACACAGGACCCACCTTGCCTTTCGGAAGCCTTTGATTTGGCCCCCACCCCACCCTGAGCCCCTGCCTAGCCAGCCCACCTTTAGGAGAAGGATATCAGAAGAGGGAAGGGTCGGGGCAGGCAAATGTCAAACCAGCCCGTGGCGGTGGTGGTGGTGGTGACGGTGGGAAACACCCCCCCCTCCTGGCAGTGTCAGGCCAAAGACCACACCAAGGGAGCTCCTCTGGGAGGCCTTGCCCAGACCTCCCCACCTTGCCCTTCCTTCCAAAGGCCAATGCTGAGCCTTTCCTCGCAGACAGAGCAGAGCCGCCGTCTTCCCCAACCATCCCGGCATGCCTCTCACAATACAGGAACGCAAAGGGAACAGGCCGAAACGTATCCAGGCAAACGGTCCCAGCGGCAGGAAACCCACCAAAGACAGACACACCCAGACCACCTTCACCTACAGGCCACGCGGAGAACCTGGGCTCCCCTGCCAGCCGCCTGTTGGCTTTGCAAATTAGCAGCCACTTAATCAAAGACACTTTTTCCTCCTAAAGAGCAGCACATCGCCTTCCTCTTCCCCTGTCCCAAGTTGTTACTAGACTGCTAGACTGAAACACGAACAAACAAAAACCCTGCAAGGGGATTGTCTTGTTCTGCCAGTGAGTAGTAAAGATGGCACCAGGGGAGTCATCCTACAAGGTCCCAATCCAACCCTGGGCTGCACCGAACGGCACTCTGCTCTCCTGCTGCACCCCACTTTGGGAGGCCACACGACCTCACAGCCGGGGCCCTGAGGCGTGGGAGTCCCATCCCCCCCGACGTACCCACTCCTTGCGCCGGCTGTGAGTGGTGAAGTCGTACACGGGAACCTTCACGCTCTTGCCCTCCTTCAGCTTCCGCAGGACGCCAATCAGGAGGTCAAAATCAAAGGCATCCGGGTGGTCAAAGTTGTACTCGTGACGAGCCGCCGCCTCCTGCTGCTCTTTGTTCAGTACCTGGGAGAGCGCCAGAGAGGGGAGGGCCACCATGGGGGTCACTTGGGTTGGGGGGGGCAGCGCTCCTCCTCGGGAACACCTCAAAAGAGCTGGAGGGAGAGGAGGGAGCAGGGAA